CGCTCACTCTCGCAACGACAACAAATCGGTGCTTCTCGAATATGCTTTCTAAGATGGGTGACTAGCTGCGAGGCGTTGGATAGCACTCGTTGGCATATGTAGCAACGTGGCACCAAACCAGATCTGCTCCTCTTACTGAATGGATTCCGTCGTCGATTTGAGGAAATCCATCTGGGCGTTAAACCCAAAGGATTAACGAAAGAGCAACTCGCTTCTTGAGTCGACTAAAAATGCAGATTCAATAGCCAATATCTGAGCCAAGGTTTGTCAATAAATACCAATCGTTCCACAAATCGACGAAAAATACTGTGAATTCAGTTGTTATCTAGCTATTGAACAACACCAGGAAGCTTCGACCGAAACGATAGCAAATGCTAGAATGGGCAGTCGCTTTTCCTATAAGTTATGTTTTCCGAATTCAACAACAAATTCATTATATGCGAAAGTCAGTCAATGCGACAAACCTCTGTGGCATGATCGACGGAACTCGAATCGTCCACCAAGAACCGCTCTGCATTAATATCATTAACGTTTGCCGCACGTTCACAATACGTTCTAAAAGAACACCATACACATCGAAACCATGTACAACGAATTAATGTTAAGCGACTATGAGAAACTGCAAACAATTTTTTTTTGAAACACTGAAGTTCGAATTATGAATGCTTTGGTAAAGTTTCAATGCTCACATTTACTCCCACCAAATGATATTCATTAAAATTCAGTCAATCCATTCGTTATTCCAACAAAACAAAACATTCTACGAAGACAGTTGATCGCCTCAACACATCCACTTAAATAAAACTCTTCAAAAATAACGCGAAAGCTGTGACAATTTAACGACAAAACGTGGAAAACATTGTGAAATAGTTCATTGGAAAACGAACGTCGGTTTAAGATTTTTTTCAAACAATGTGGAAGGATCATTGATATGCTGATTATGCGATATGGATCGCATTGGCGACATTGATAAATCGGTCTGAACAGATGATGAAATATTTTGAGAGCACTTCGATTTCGAGATTATTGACGTAGCAGGATAAATGGGTTGATCGCGACGCTCCTCCATGATTCCACTGCAGAAAACAAAACACACTCACTTTGTAGTTCCAGAAGGAAAATGAACTATTTTGCGAAACTGCGACTGATAATCAACGAAATTGCTGTGTAAAACTGAATAATTCTAGGCTTTGACTCGACATTATTATCTAATGCATTCTAGAGAAGCTGTTATGTTTCTTAACTGCGTTATCTCCAATACACAACAGAGTGGTGAGACTGAGAACATAGAAGTGAACAGCAATCACTGAAGGATACCATACCAGTTACTGTTGTATACGATAAGATCATTACTGTTTTGTGGCGGCGGCACGTTATCGTCAAATATTGGTTTACATGCG